CATGGCACAGACTGTGCCATGCATGACTCTGCAGATAGCTCCTGGGGATTCCTCTCTGCTTCCTGCAGCTGCTCCTTCCCAAGAGTGCCCAGTCAGTTCCTGGGTCAAGGAAGGTCTTTCCTCCTACCTAGCCTGGGGAAAGGGAAGTACAGCAGGGAGGGGGCTGATGGGAGTTGTAGTCCCCTGCTTAGCAGGTTCACCACAAACTGAAGAAAATGCAAACTGTTTTTGAGTTACAGATGATTTAAAAAGTTATCTCGATTGGAAATTTCAATTGTTGTCCAGCATCTTTTTGTCCCCTTTTAGCTCACTTACGTTACTGCACCTTTTAATTTTCCAAGCTCTCTGAAAACTCATATGCCAGAAAATGTGTTTGAAGAAAATAGGCTGGAATTGAAACTGCAAAAGAAAAATAACAGCAACAACATGCCTTGCTTTGTTGGTAGTGCTGTGCATGGGAACTTCAAAGTGAAATTGCTCAGCAACTGACTATAAAACACACATAAAACTGACCTATTTTCATTGTCCAACCAGAGAGATATGTAAGGATTATACAAATAATAAGGAATGAAAAGCACTGACTACATTCCTGCACTAAGGAAGTGTGGCTGGAACAATGCATGGAGCGTAGACTCTATACGAGTACTGATGCAGCGGTGGCATCCTGATCCTAGGGCCTGATTCAAAGTCAATGGGCATCTTTCCATTGCTTTCAGTGGGCTCTAGTTTAGGCCCACATGTGCTGGAGCATATGCCTTCATGACTGCTCCACAGTGAGCATAACACTTTTTTAGCCTATTCCCTGCTATGTAGCCATTTTGCTGTGAAGGATTCAGCATAATGCTGTCTCTCCCCGGTCCATGCCACTCCACAATATCAAACATGCCCACATGCCTGGCTGTGGTCCCAGGGTGCATGGGAGTGGCTTGGAACACAGATGGGGAGTGTTGTTGGCACATATGCAGAATGCACATGCGTGTGAATGCACCACAGCTGGAATGCACTCACCCAGCACATACTATATAAGACATAGCAGGCTCACCCCTCAGATTCTGACAAGTCTTTCAGTTTTACATATATAAAGTGTTAGCAACACAGGTAAAGCTCATTTTTATATAACACCAGGTGCTTTTTAACATGGCAGTGTCCCTTTATAACCATGAAATAGATCTGGAACTCTGGGTACATCTGGACTATTCTGATTGGCTGTCAGTGATGCCATTGCTCTGTGTCACTAATCCCTGTAAATGCCTGGATCTGACCTTTTCCCCATATAATTTCCTGTTCATCATAGTAATAAAACCCCACAAAGCTATGAATTTATGTGGGGATTATTGCACTTCTTGGGAGGTTGAAGCAACTTGGCCTGTGGCCTCGTGTCCTGCTATGCACTCCAGAAATGCTCTGCATTTTGAATATTACTGCCGGGCAAGTGGATGCTTCATACTCTGGAACAAATTCAAACGTCTTGACAGGCGAACTTTCCCGACGTTGGCAGTCATGTGCCATGCCTATAAATTATGCCCAGAGTGTTCATTTTCACTTTAAATGTGTTCTCCTCTCATAGTAATTAATGGTGTCAGGTTACTGGTGTGAAAAACCTGACTTTACGATGACTATAGATTAATTAAATGACAGTCACGTCTACAGTAGCCACAATAAATTATTAGTGAGGAATGACACACCTTAAGTGATGTTTTCAAAACCTTAAAATTTTTTCAGTTTAAATGCTCCTCGTAAATATTTGGCTTTAACAACATCTGTTTCTGTGTTAAAATTAAAGTCGGCAGCACTGGCAATAACAGCTGACTTGCTGACGAGCTTGGGGAAAATGGAATGCGTGCGCTCCAAGAAATGCTCTTCTCCCCCCGTGAGCACTATGTGAAATGATCTCTTAATTCAGCACTATCCTTATGTCCTAAATGACTCTCTGCACACTGACGTGCAACCACACCAGCAGATAATTTTGGGTGGGTGGAGGGAAGGAGTGTAGTTGCTGCTTAAAGAAATATGAAATAAGTGTATTGAAGTATGCTTACAATTAATAGATTTGTAGGAAAAGCAAAATGTATAGGGCCAGACTCGCTGGTCCCTTTGTCCTGCCTGAGTTGCGCAAAGGGGACAGAATCTCATTGCACCTGCCAGGCTGTGAATTCTCAGCTGGTGTAGAGTTGCCAATCCCCAGTCTATGAGGTGTTGCGGAGAAGGAAATGATGTATCAAGGCAGGACACAATACAGCTCCATTCTGCCAGTTTACAGCTGGCATATGCTCCTTTAGGGACCATAGCCAGCTCTCGTAAGTTACAGTAGCCCCCGTCTGTTCTAATTTACGTCTGGGCAAGGACAACTTGAGAATCAGCCTGAGAAACTGTTTTGCATGCTGAGCAGATCTTTGCACAGGACAGATTTGAACCATAATGTTAGATAGAACAGACTTACAGAAGAGACCTAACATTTTCTAAAGCACCTAAATGACTTGGGCTCTTAAGTCCCATTTTCAAAAGTGACATGGGTATTTAGAAACCTAAATGTCACTGAAAGACAACAGAATGTGGACTAAGTGCCTAACTCACTTTTGAAAATGGGACTTAAGTGCTCTTGAAAATCTTTACCCTTGGTCTGAAAGAAAAAAGAAGAGAGCTATTATGTACACATTGGATGTATTTAATTTCCTTGATGTTAAACTTTTCAGTTTATTCTAGAAATTAAATACATTGTTAACAGTTAACACAAGAGGTCCTCAAGGAGCTAATATATCTAACAGAAACATGAGCTGAAACCTATTAGCCTCTGCATCAAAAAGTTCAAATTCAGGTTTAGTGTAAGCATGTGCAACTCCACTGAAAGCCAGGAAGCTGTACCTGTTATTAACCCCACCCACCGACAAGAACATACAACTGGTGAGAGAAAAATGGAGATAGTGGGTGAAGTTTCTCCATAATGGAACTGCATTGACCTCACACAAGGTCTGAATTGGACATTATGGTCTAAGGCAGTATAGTTCAACCTTTAAGAAAAGCCACTTCATCATAGAATGACTTTGTAAAGAGCCACCGTATCAAAACATTGTGATAACCCAACAAAGTGTCTTATATTCAGAATCTGGGACCCTGTCTGAGACTGCAGGGCTCATCCGTTGGATCAATCTGATGTCTGGTGCTGGAACCCTGCATAGAGAGTCAGAGAGATTTTTGCAAAGTCATTCTCAGCTCAGATCAGGTGAATTCTTTCCTGGGTGCTGGCTGGTGAGTAGTGCCCACATGCTCAGGGTTTAATTGATCGCCATATTTGGGGTCGGAAAGGAATTTTCCTCCAGGGCAGATTGGCAGAGGCCCTGGAGGTTTTTTGCCTTCCTCTGCAGCATGTGGCACGCGTCACTTGATAGCTCAGGGGGGGAGGGATAGCTCAGTGGTTTGAGCATTGGCCTGCTAAACCTAGGGTTGTGAGTTCAATCCTTGAAGGGGCCATTTAGGGATATGGGGCAAAAATTTGTTGGATGATTTAATTGGGGATTGGTCCTGCTTTGAGCAGGGGGTTGGACTAGATGATCTCCTGAGGTCCCTTCCAACCCTGATATTCTATGATTCTATGACTTGCTGGAGGATTCTCTGCACCTTGAAGTCTTTAAACCACGATTTGAGGACTTCAATAACTCAGGCATAGGTTAGGGGTTTGTTACAGGAGTGGGTGGGTCAGATTCTGTGGCCTGCGTTGTGCAGGAGGTCAGACTAGATGATCATAATGGTCCCTTCTGACCTTAAAGTCTATGAATCTATGTGTCCAATTAATTCCAATCTAGGAGAATGAGGGGTGTAGTAACTTTGTAAGGCACAGGGAAGAGCATCTCCTCAGCTCTTTTCCACCTCCTTCTCTCAGGCATGGAAAGGAGGGAAAGGTTTTCCTTTGCTTGGTTCTCTACTGGCAGGGAGTAGTCTCCTCTGTTTTCCTGACTCCCCTGATCCCAGCCACTACTGGCTGTTGCAAGGGGAAGGGCCTTTCTCCCCGTCACCTGCCTCCCTACTGGCTGCTGCTAGGACCGTGCACCACAGCCACAGATCTTGAGGGAGTTTTGTGCACAGCCCCTAAATCTGTGTATGTGGATCTAGAGAGAAGGCAAAAGGATCACTGATCTGGAGAGGTCTCTGAGGTCATTTTTAAAGCAGTTGGAACTGAGGAACCCCACAATCATAATGATGTCCCTTAAAGAAAACAGAGATGGCGGCAAAATTCAGAACAGAATTTCAAACACTTAAATTTAGCCATGTTCTGATCCAATGCTTTGGTTTAGTCCATTATAAAGACAGGAGACATTTGTAAAATATAGATATTGTTATATTATCGGGAATTGCTATACATGTGCTGCGCCCCATTCAAGACACAAACCAAAGAGAGGTACTGCCTTGAAAAGCTTACAACCTAGAGGGTAAACTCACTCAGCTCCTCGGGAGTCTTTCCATTGACTTCCATGGGCTTTGAATCAGGTCTTCAGAGACCGGATATGCTGGGAAATCAAGAGGAGGGAATAATTTATGTTTTCTATATATCTATTGATTATGTATCTGGGGCCATATCCTCAGCCGGTGTAAACTTACATAGTCAATTGGCCATTGACTTAAATGGTGCTACATGGATTTACAAGAGATGAGGATCTGTAACTACATATTTACCCTTTTATTATGAATTCACAAATCGTGGGCATGGAGGATTTGAATAAGCCTGGGGGACGGTGGTGGTTTGACCAGCTGGGATTCAGAGGTCATTCTACACATAAAGAGCAGCCTGGAAAGAAGCATTCAGTTTAGAGTGGGAGAAGGAAACCAACAGAATGGTGAGACAAGTACTGGCTGGGTCTGACTGGATTTCAAACTCTTCCTATGTCCAGAGACATTTGAACCTGGGCTTTTGGTTCAAGCCCATTTATTAAAAAATAAACATAGAGAAGGACCATTTAAACACCTCATAAACAGTCAAAGAAGATGCTGATTTGTGCACAGCAGTATTCTGCATACAGGTATGTTTTTTATTACCAACATGTAACTTTAACATCAATTGCTAAGACTTATTTGCTATGTTGCTTCCAGAGAGCAGACTCCTTCTGAAAATGGTCTGTATTCCTCCACATTTGAATTCAGTGAGGAAAATTACACTACAGAACAGCAAAGCTAATAAACATTAAACATTTTAGCAAAGGAAAGAGGGCCTGATCCAAAGCCTACCAAACTCAATGGGAGTCATTCCAATGAGTTCAGAGGACTTTGGCTCAGGTCATAGAATGTCAATACAAAAAAGATGTGCTTTCCTTTCCCCCTGAATGTTAGTTTTCCAGCCTGAGATCATCCTCACTGTGCTCGCATGTCAGCCTCACACTGTTCCTTAAGTTTCATCAGGTCTTGCACCAGGCTGTGATCTGCTCCATGGGTTACTTTCATAATGTTATAAGCCTTGAGGAGAGACAGGAAAAGGGACAAGTTAGTTCACCATCTCTTACCTTCAAGTTCACATCTGCAGCTTCATTTTAGGGCAGTCATTCTCAACCTGGGATATGCAGAGGTCTTCCAGGGGGTACATCAACTCATCTAGATATTGGCCTAGTTTTATGACAAGCTAGATAAAAAGCACTAGTGAAGTCAGTGCAAGCTAAAATTTCATACAGACAACGACTTGTTTATACCGCTCTATAAACTATACATTGAAATGTAAGTACAATATTTATATTCCAATTGATTTATTTCATAATAATAATATCGTAAAATGAGAAAGTAAGCAATTTTTCAGTAATAGCAAGCTGTGACACTTTTTTATTTTTATGTCTGATTTTGTAAGCAAATAGATTTTAAGTGAGGTGAAACTTGGGGGTACGCAAGACAAATCAGACTCCTGAAAGGGGTACAGTCGTCTGGAAAGGTTGCGAGTGACTGCTCTAGGGAGCACAATCTACATGTGGACTTGCCTATGTCACCTACTCTGCTGCTCCCTTTCTATTGTGCTGGTGATTCCCTGCCTTAGAAATTCCTGAAATGTCCCCATCTTAAGTCACAATAAGGCCATTACTTCTCATAAGACATTTCCTGATTCATTCATACTGCTTCTGATAGATACCTGCTCTGGTTCTCAAGTCTGAGAGACCAGATTTAAATCATTCTGCTGTCGGGGAAGAATCTTTTCTTAAACAGTGTTCTGAAACCTTATTTGGAATTGAAATAACATATATTATCTGATGTGATGAAAAAGTAAACAGAACAATAATATTCTATTTCCAGCATTCAGAGGTTGACAAATGGAGGCAAATACCTGCTATCACTATCTTTACATTTACTTCCAATTAACTATTTTAAAGTGTGTGTGTAGGGGGAGGAGGAGTTGAATAAACAACTTTGAAAGCAGTCATAAAGCAAATCACAAAGTGCATAGATTTCTGCTGAGTGTTATGTAGGCTGTGAGCTATCACTGGGGCCAGACAGTAAAAAAGGGAAAATATATCTTTCTAAGTCAAATAGAAACATGGAAAAATTTTCGGCCTTGTTTCAGGTGCCCAAAGTATCTGAAATAAAATCTGAAATCCTCAATTTGTGCCTTGTCTTATGTTATAGAAATTCAAACCTGGCCATATTTTGCTAAATTCTTGTGTTTACATGTTTACATGTGCCCATTTTCGGGCATAATTATTTTCCCTGCAGAAACATGTCAACTGGTCTAATATTCCAGGTTTTCCTCACTAACTTGCCACTTCTAGGGGGAAGGTCAAAAAAACATTTAAACAAAGTTGTGGGAAATTTCTGTCATGTCACACAACTCTAGGTATTAAAATACACAGTGTTTTTTTAATAGAAAAGAAATATAAAAACTACCAGAGTAAAAACCAGCCCTCATCTGACAGAGGCATGCAAAAGGTTAAGTGTGGATAATGGCCACTCATGTGGTATAGGAGCCATCCTGGCCGTGCAGAGTAGAATGGCTCAGTGAGGGATGCACTGCCAGGTGCATTTTATACCTGGAAAAATAGCAGTGTGGCCTCATAAGTAGCAAATGCGGTGGATTGCAGTGTCCGTGTTAGCTGACTGGAGACCAGGGCATGCCTAGGTCTCAGGGTTCATTCTAGCTAGCCAGATACCTGGGCATGTCTGTGTTAAAAAAATAATCTTTAATAATATACCTTCCTTTGAAATTATGTCACTACTAGAGCTGAGCAAAATTTTTCAGACAAATAGTTTATTTGCCACAAAATGCAGTTTTGTTTGATCCAAAACTATTTGTGAACTTGACATGAATTTGTCAGTTTCAGTCTGAAAAAAAAATTCAGGCTACATTCACAATATAAAGAGGGGGAGGAAGACGGGGTGCCTACCAACTAATTTTTAGCCCAGTGGTTAGGCTCTCAGCTGGGATGTGGGAGACCTGGCTTCAAATCCCCACTCTAGAGCAGGAATGTGAACCTAGGTCTCTCCTCACCCAGTGGAGTGCCCTAACCACCTGGTTTGTATGCTATTCTGGGATACTGCGCTCTCAGTCTCTTCTGTTGAAACGGTTCCTGTTTGTATAACATACCTGAGCAGTCATTGGGAACAAGCATGATGGTCTCTAGAGTGGGGTGGTTAGGGTACCCACCTGGAAAGAGGGAAACCTAGCTTCCAATCCCTGCTCCAGAGTGGAGATTCAAACCTATATCTCCCATTCCCCTGGTGAGTTCCTAACGATGGTGCTAAACATTACAACACGGGCAGTGCCTCCTGGCCATTTTATGAATTTAGCCCTTTAAAAATGCCCAGAAACAAAACATTTTGGGTCAAACGACCTGTTTAATTTAATCCAAAATGGACTTTTTCAATTTGCAATTTTTTGTTTGGAATTTTCAGTTTTGCTTCGACCCGAACCACCTTTCTTCCCCCTTGATTTGAAACTGCCAGCGAACAAAAAAACCAGTCATTCGCCCAGCTCTAGTCACCATTAATGAACATAACACTTCTCTATCCTCCCAGACACCTCACCATTACGATGGCAAATACTGCATCTGATCTCTCTCATTTTGTCTTTCCAGGGTGAACATCACCTTACTGCAGAAGGCCCCAATTCAACCCTGCATTAAGGGTCCTATCCTGGTTCCATTAAAATCAATCGCAAATTTATCAATGACATCTTAAACCCTAATCCTAGACCCACTGGAGGGTTTAAGTGGCGCTGAGAGCCTTGTGCAGGCCTGCTATCCTGGGGTGATTTTCACTCACTATAAAATATTTTCTACCAAGCTGAAGCTCAGAAATGCTAATGCAGTTCCTGCTTTCAGAACACTAGCCTGTTCTCTTAAGCTTCCCAGACTTCCCACAGTAAGTAACTGAGGCTGGATCTTGTGGTCTCCCTCTCGGTTTAAGGAATAAATCTAATTATGAAGAACTACAGTAATCGTACCACTGCAACACAGGGCATAGTGTCATCAGCCACACGGTTTCTCCCTCAAGAATATAAAAAACCATTAGATGATTGGTATGAATGTGCCTCTGTGAATGCAAATGAAAGCACAGCACATTCATTTGTGTCTGATTTTCACTGGATTGGATGAGGTGCCGAACATCAAAGATGCATGTATCCGTATGCAAATGTATTGATGCATCACTCCATCATGATGAAAGAAGAAAGCAAACTGCATTGCACTGATGCGGTACAATGTGAAGGCCAGTGTACTGGAGAAATTATTTTTGTTTTGCCTGTGTCTCTTGATTAAAACAAATGCTTGTTACACAGGGTAAAGGAAGAACAAATGCCTTTAGATTTTCAGCCTCGTTTTACAATAATCACAGCTACTGTTACCAACACAGAATGGAAACAGGGTCTAAAACAAAAATCTTTTTATATAAAGGGGGATTTCTCAGGTGTTGCATGGCAACTGGGGTGAGAGGATTTACCCCGCTTTCTGTTCCACTTACCAAAGGGTAATAATGGTGCTGGGTTATGCTAGGAAAGGACACAACTCAGCATCTGGCTAATGTGTCATCATAGTGTAATTAAAATTTTCTTATTTGCATGTTTATAAACATCATGCCACTACCTCAGTTCCTGGGGTTATTGTGAAGACATTGATCCTGCTCATTTATAGTGATGGGCACACGAGAGTGGAGGGTCAGGTTAGTGCTGTAACAGAGGACTCATGAGCAAAACATGCGGGCAGTGGGGACTCTGCATTGAATAGAATGGCATGGATAGAACGCCTGGGGCAGGACCAGATACACATTGAGGGTCTGCTCCCAGAGCTGCACCTCCTCAGGAAGAGATTCATGGTTCACAGGGAAGCCAACCATGTAGTGTCGCCTGTTAGTAGGATGCCGTGTGCTCTGTCCTCCAGGGTAAGTGAGCTGGGTGGGACCCCAGCCCTTCTTCCAGGCCTTTTAAGGGGTGATAACTGCCCAACAGATTCCAGAAGCAAGTAGTTCCTGTGCTCGGGTAAATGCAGAGACAACTTTGCCCAGCCATTCACTGCCCCAACCTACCTTGTGCAGCCAGTCAAAGGCCACCTGGCCTCAAGTGTCACAAGACCATGGAACGATGGGGCAGTAGCCATTATCCAAGCCCCCCAGATAGAATAAAGCCAAGAAGGAAGTGTGCTGCAGCCCTATGGAACAGCTATGGGATGGAAGGTGAATTCCAGCCCCCTGCTCCACTTAGTTCCCCAAACAAAGCCCAGCTGTGCACAGGCTTCGAATGGTGAGGAATTACCTTCTTGAACTGTGATAGGTGATTACTATTTAAATCAGTTTTTAACACTTTGGTCAACCAGTGCCCTAGAAGTTAATCATACTTCTCTCCTTGACAGAGGTTTCCCATGTGCTCTAGGCACACACTTCTGCCGTTGCCCTAATATGACAGTGCTGCTCCTTCAGGTACCTTTTCTCCTGATAGCTCACACTAGTGCACTTCCATTATTGCCAATTTATTAGAACCATTCCTGGCTCCTCAGAGTCAATCTGCGGCTCAGCTACAGCTATTTGCTGGCGAAGGTTTCACTGAACTATAATCTTACTCTCCCTTGTTTACTTTTTTTCAAACTTTTTAGTAAGGCAAAGTTATAATAAAACATTAATATACTACATCATACATTACCCATTCAGGATCAGGTTAATATTCAAAGAACCTGGCTAAAGATTCTGGCTTGGCAGCTGTGCAGTCCTCCTCTTCTGAGTATGCTAGCCAGTGTGACCAAATTTCTTAATACCTATCCTCCTTTTGGCAGTTCTCTTGTGCACATACTTCGTGTGAAAGCTTTTCCACTACAAGGACAGTCTATATTTTACTATACCACAATTCCATAGCGAGGTCACATTTTTCCAAACCACGAGCAATACAGAGTCTAGCTAGTAACAATAAAAAAAGAAATGAATTTGCCTTTGTTAAAATTTGCCTTTCAGATTGTATTCCAGAAGTACAGTATTGCCTCCCTGTAATGTGGCCATTTCCTACTGGAGGATCTAATGTATTCTTATGGCCAGAAATTCACTATGGTGTAGAGGGCCATCACAAGGCCTTTGCATCATTTAACCCCCAATTTGGAGCTGCAGAGACAAGAGATGAATGGTGCAGGGGGGGGGTTGGTAGTGGCCTTACATAGGCTGACATGGAAGGCAGCAATAGGGGCAGCCAAAGGGAAGGGGCATGAAATTTGTGTATTCGGGGGTGTTAATACACTGCACACATGATGCAGAGTGGGTTGTCAACCCACAAGCTGGAGTAGTGCCTGTGGAAATCAGATTACATGGGATTTACGTGAGTGATGTGAATCTCACTCAGATCCCAATTTCTTCTGCCTATCCCAAATCCTTCTCCTGAACACTGACACTGAAATCAATCTGGCTAACGTTCCAGGAAGGATGCTATTCAGTATTGGAATGCATTAAATACAGGACTAGAGTATAGCAGGTCCTGAACACGGGGAGGGACTCTAACACATCTAATTGCAAAGGGCCAAATCCAGCCCCAGTATAACTCTATGACTTTATGTGAGTTACACCAGGGATGGATTTAGCATAAGAAGCCACATTCTACTCTGATTTACATGGGTATTGTCCCATGCAGTCAGTCTAAAAGAGTGTCAGAACTTGGCTCAAACTAAGAGCAGGATGTGACCTGCCCTTATGATGCTGCACAGGAAAACAAGGTGGCACAAGGTAGCCCATTAGTCCCCTTCACAGGTTACCTGCATTACTGATCTCCCCACCTTCGCGCAGGCAGATGAGGAGAGGGCAGGCAGCATGGGGAATGGGTAGACCCTCAACTTTGGCTTCCTCAATACACCAACCAGTGAAGCTGAGCTGGCACAGAGGGGGAAGTAATTAGCTAAGGTGAAGATCAGTAGCAGATTACTCACCCACGAAAGAAAGAGAGGAGCAAGGCTGGAGATTGTGATTCACTGTTCCCTCCCTGGTCAGTTCCTGGAGAAACACAGCTATGTGCCACCCCTGACTCAAGGCAGATCGTAAAGTGGCAAGCTGACCCCAAACTGGCAATATAGTTTAAAACAACCAAACACCCCTTTGGTCATCTGAATAATGCATTCAGCCAGTTCTATGGGGATTCTCCTGATGACCATTTCTATCTAGTTTCCTACAATAACATAAGATAACCAAAAAAACAAATACCGGGCAAGATGCATGTTCGCCAATTAGAATGTTATAGTAACATCTATGAAAGCAGAACTGGGACTGAGGACTCATTCCATCTCCTGAGCAGTGAACTGCGCATGTTCGCAAGCTATAAATGTCATAGGGGAAATGGCAACGCAGATTAGCTCGATCCTGACAGCCATATGGCTCACTTCTGAATAATGAAAAGGAACCAGAATTGATTACTTTCTCATCAGATTTTTTAATAACCACAATTGGACACAATTTCAATTAAACCTATCAAGTGAGGATTTAACTTACTAAGTCTTGCTAGGACAGACATCACATTAAATATTAATTTATTATTAAAAACATGGAAGTTATCAACTATTCAACATAATTCATAATCAGTTAAACCTCAATAAATCTGTAAACAATTTTGTAAAGAATATAAAATAGTAAGTTACACATGTAGTATATGGATGTTAAGTAATGGGAATACAAAAACACAGACAATGTCTGCATTGAAGGATACAGCTCTTAAGTTCCTCAATTGTATCACTGCTAAACAAACATAAAAGATAAATGGAAAAGAAATAAAATAATATAAATCTATACTTTGGGTCATAGCGTGCTCTCAGTTATTCTCATGGAACTGAGAATAAAATCAAGACCATTTACAAGGACCATCCCAGGGAAAGGGAGGAGAAAGAGGCAAAATGATCTTAGTGCATCTATATCTTGAATTTCAGGGAGTACGGAACCAAACCACATCATGTTAACAAGAATGGGACAAACTCTGCTCTCCATTACATCAGTGCAGCTTCATTGTCCTCAGGGGCCATCAGCAGGTGACCATTAATACACTAAGCCTGATTTTGCTTGTATTGCTGTCAGTGGCTGCAATCTTCACCTGTACTATGCTGTTGTTTAGTGCTTGTCTCTCACTCTACGTCTTACAAGTGGGGAACTGTGGCACAGAGGCAAAGTGACTTGCCCAAGACCACATAGGAAGTCGGTGGCAGAGCAAGAAACAGAACCATTGGAAAAGAAGGAGGGTTCAGTGGGTAGGGCACTGGCCTGGGACTCTGGAGACCTGGCTTCAATTCTTTGTTCTACCACAGCCTTCCGGTGTGATGTTGGGCAACTGACCACACTTCTGTGTGCCTCATTTCCCTACCTGTAAAAATGGATAATAGTGCTTCCCTATCGCACTGGGGTGTTGTGAGGATAAACACATTAAAGGTTGTGAGGTTCTCAGATCCTAGGGTGATAGGGCTTAGGGTCGAACCCACATCTCCTGAGTCAGAGGGTAACAACAGGGCCATCCTCGCTCCCAAGCCCACCTCATTCTGTGTAGCTTGTGCTCCTTTGTTTCAGTAACAATCATCTGAATCTATGACATTTTCTATTGCTCCTTTCTATTGAGCGAAGAATCTCTTAGGAATCATTTATCATTTAAGAGTACAACGAGTACTGGAGGGAAAGGAGTCTGAGCTCAATGTAAATGATTATACAGCACAGAAGGTGATGATTTGGGGGCAGACAGGCATGAGGATCACTTCTTTTAATTTGCTAACTTACACACTTGGGGAAAATATAATGCCCAGATACCTACATGGGACTCCCATTCACTTCAATGGGAGCTGTGCATATGCATCCAAAAGCCATGACTCTGGCTGTGTATGCTAGGGATGTGGGAATGCTGAATAGGCTTTGTTTCTTTGTGAGAATGGCTGTCCTTGCCCCAGGTCTGATGGAGCCATAACCTTATCGATATATAGCTTAAGCTGATGAAAAGGCTTGACATTTTCCAGAATTCCACACAGCCCTGGGGTGAAAATGTTCTTTAGGCCCAAGTCTCCTCCCACTTACACAATGTATCTCCACTGACTTCAGCAGAGTTACTCCAGGTTTACACTAATGTAAGTGAGAGAAGACTCGGGTCCTCGGTGTACAGCATCAGCTATTTCTGCTTGCTTGGCTACACGGTAGCAGCTTCTGGGTAGCGCCAGGTCTCACATGAACGCGAGTCCCACAAAGAACATGATGGGAGTGAGTGTAAAATGAAACTGCTGCTTCAGCTTGCCTTGTAGCAAAGCATACCAATTAGCTGCTGTGTGGCGCTTGTGTTTTGTGATACAATGTGAACAGAAAGCCTCGTCTGGCGTCAGTGCTGAGCCCCGCTCTAGCCTAGCAGCAAAAAGACAGGCGGATGGAGCAGATGGCTTTCTGAGGCAATGAGCAGAGGAAAAAAGGAGAGGGTGTCAGATACCGGAGATGGGGAGAGAGACTGGGACAGGGCCTCACTGTGTGTAGCTCCTTCAGGCCTGACTCTGAATGGGCAACATCAATAATTCAAAGTAGTAGCCAGGAGGCGTTGGGGCAGCAAGTCTTACTGGGGGCTTGGGATGGGAAATGACTTATAACCTAACGTCCCAAAAGCTGCTGTGGAGCAGAGATACAAATCGGCTGTGTGTGTGTTTTCTTCAGTATTTTTAAAATGGTAGTAATAGTAATATAATAGCAGGGCAGATCAGAGCCTGGGGTGGAAGGAAGTGAATATAAACTCAGTTCAGGCACAACAGGAACGACTTAAACCTGGAATATAACTAGATAGGAAGCTTCTGCCAAAACAGATCCTAGTGAGAGAAAGAATTGGAATGATAAAAACCAGCAGGGATTAACAGAAGCTGCTCACTGATTTGAAGTAGGCTTGTAAGAAAACGCAAGTGTTAAAACAAATTGAGCTCCTCTCTCAACTCACAGAGCCCAGAACCTGTGGAAATGGGGGCAGTGGCTTCTGTTTGGGAGCAGGGAGGGTGGGGAATGCAGCGCAACCATTGCTATCCTCCTCCCACAGTTCCGATTGGAATTACACCGACTTTTCCTTCCCCGTAGGAGGAGGCGGAGGAGAGCAACTGGCCATTTAGCATTACCAGTTATTCCTTCTTTTTTACCCTTCACACCCACTCCGACAAGGAACAACTCAGGGCATAATCAGAAATACAAAGAAGGGGGAAGAACAGTGTAAGGCACTGAAATATTTTTACCCTTCTCCGATTTAATAGCTGTTTTCCATTCAAGGTTAGGGGGTGATTAACGGCACCTCTGTGCTACTGACTAGTAATTAAAAATGACTGATATTAAAGGAAGCCTGCACTTGAAACACGAAGCAACCATGACCCATCACCACGCTCTGCAGTTATTACTTGGGGAGCTGGCACAGAGAGAAAGACTGGGGAATGGTATTCAGAAGAGTAAGGTGCAATCAGAGCTGGAAGGGGAGGAATATATGGAGGATTCATGGAGAATATGGGAGGGGAGGAACACAATAGGCAACACTGACCTGCTTCAAGGTCTCCAGTGCTTGAGGAAACATGTCTTGAGTATGCTGCAATTTGCCCACTCTCATCATCTGGACAGCCCTCAAGGGATGAAAGCTGGAATAATACAGGCTGTGGAGAAGAGGAGGAAAAATATAGTGTCACTCTGTCAGCTCTCACCTTCACAGTCTCTGCCTCGGTGGAGAGCTATTAGGGTGGGACTGCAAAATCATTGTGAATTTTAATAAAGTACTCAGAGAAAATTAGCTGCACTACTGAGAAGCATGAAATACTGAGGGGAATTAACAAATTATTATTCTCTGTCTCTGTGGAATGCCTTTTACATTATCCTGTTAGAAAGTGACTGGGGATGGGATTATCTCATACACTACTGTTGGATAATACAATCGCATTTACAGTACTTGGTGTTCAAAAGAAGAAAGAGAGAGACTTTCAGTCTCAATACCACCAAAGCAATTTCATTTTCAAAGGGAAGTTTCAACATGGAGCCCAACCCTGGATTCCAAATTCAAGGCAAGTCCACAGGAGGGGAAACACATGGGAACCTTATGACAAAAACAGTGTGTGTGCTGATTTTGAGAGCTGCCTGTGGAGTTCCCTACCCATAAAACAGTTGGAGAGAATATGTTCCAGGAAGCTTCTTGTCAAAGGCCTGGGCATTGTCTGGACAAGGTATCGAGAGCAGGTGGGATGTATTTGCTATCTCACAAATGCTCTCACTTGTCTCAGTTTTACACAAGGCCAACTCTCCATTTCACTCCTGACTTACATTAGTTTAGACAGATGAAAGCAGAATCGCGATTCATGCCCTCTTGTGTTTAGAACAAGGAATACCGTGTAATGCTATGGTATCACTAATTACCTTCAGTATACTGTGGAAATGTCAGTATTGTATGGCAACCATTCTGCATTTCCAAAATCACAGAGCATATCTTTATTAATCATGTACATTGAAGATTAAGGACCAAACCATATGATTCAGCAAGGATAAAAGCATCACATTTGATCTATATGAATAATCCATTTTCTCCATTACACCTATAATGAACTCTTAAAGGTTCTTTCTAAGTATAATCATTGGAAGAAGCACTGACTATAAAATCCCTAGAAAGAGACATGTCCTCTTTTACAATTCAATAGGAACATTTTCAAAACGGTGGACTAGATTCTCCTTTCACTTACCCTGTCCTTACCTATGGGATTCCACTGACTTGAGCAGATTTACTCCTGATTTACACCATTTTAGGTGAGAGGAGAATCAAACCCAGTGTCTGGGGGGATTAAAAATAAATAACCTGATAACAAATTAAATGATTTGAACAAGTCAGATGTGCAGGAAATGCACAGAAAATCCATATGAAAGGGGGATAAATTACTTCCCTCTTTCACTCTATGCTGAAAATGCAACCCTGAGTAAATATAGGAAACTATTTCAATAGCAATGAAGTAGAAGATTCCCTCATTACAAATTCCAAATAAAGTATGGAAATGTAAACATCATGTAAAGTGTTTTCACAAAGAAAGTTTCTATTGATTCCAAAAAGCTGCAGTGAAGATATACAAAGATGCATATTTTCTGACACATGCACAGTATGGATGAGACCCAGCAACAACAACATCTTCACCCAGACAAAGCCAAGTCATCCTTAAAACGGCCAAAAAAAAATTATCCCATGCCTTCAAAATCTCCATCCTTTGACTTGTTTGGCCTTTTCTCTGACCTTGAGGACGCCGCCAGCGACAGAACACAGTGGCGTGCAACAGTCAGAAATATCTGCATCGCCTTTGAGGAAGACCGCTGCCGGCGTCTACAAGAGGCACGCAAACGATGTCACAGAGCACCAGCAGCGCACAATCCACTGACCGCGAACTTCCCATGCACCATCTGCAGCAAAATGTGCACCTCTAGAATTGGCTTGTACAGTCAGAGGGCACACCATGAGACCAACAATAGATGACCTGCACAGATTTGTCATCATCGGATTGATGGACTACCAAGAATCTCTGACCAAAAGGAATTGAGAACCACTAGACCGGAGTGAAGAAAAAAAATAAGCAGTAGCGGTGTCAGTAGCTCGTGAATATGGCAGTCCAAGTTTTCACGAATCCATGGCTCCAAACAGACAATTGCTTTGAACACTTGAAAATAACCAGTAGGTTTATTTTTAGTTTTCAGTTTTGGTTGTTACATCTATTGGCATGGGGACATCCATCACCAGTTACACTGGCGGATAAATGTAATAGAAGCTGAGTCGGCCAGATTCCGGTGTGGTTACAGAGGAGTAATAGTAACTTCAATAATGATGACTTAAGGGGTAGACATTGTTAGCTGGCAATCATTTACAATATCTTAGTAAAACCTTCTAATATCTATATAAATGGTACATACCTGTTTGTATGCCTCTATCCCCACTACCTGTATGTCAATATGACTACTACACTGGGGTATGGGGTAAAATGGGTCCCAGCTGGGCCACCTCTCCCTGCAGCACCCTTCAGATCCAGAATTGTGTAGTGAAGAACACCACCCACAGCTCTGTGGTCACTAGGACCCAATGGTGCCTCCCTGCTTCCCCACCATATGGGGTGGAACCAGCCAGAACTGCTGCAGAAGCAGCAACCTCCTAACAGTCCGAGAACTTTCTACAGTTTTGACTGGACTTCCTGTGCCCTGTGCTGATTGCCTGTTTGCTACAACCGTCTCCCTCCTCTGCCCTCAGTCTCATCTTAGCTTCACTCCACGCCTGCCCTGTCTATCCTCTTTCTCCCCTGCTACTCTGTGTTTGTACAGTGCCTAGCACAACGGGGCCCTATTCTTGGTTGGTCTTTAGGCACTACTGAAATAAACATGAATATAAAATAATAATAATAGGCTTTGGAGGCCCTGATCCTACCATGTGTATCAGAGAATCTCAGGGTTGGAAGGGACCTCAGGAGGTCATCTAGTCCAACCCCCTACTCAAAGCAGGACCAATCCCCAGACAGATTTTTGACCCAGATCCCTAAATGGCCCCCTCAAGGATTGAACTCCCAACCCTGGGTTTAGCAGTCCAATGCTCAAACCACTGAGCTATCCCTCCCTCCCCTGCTGAGCCTGCACAGAGCCCCTCTGCCTTCAGCAGGGCTGTATGTGGGCACAGCAGTTTGCCCATGTACTATTGGGGCTCTAGCTTGTGAGCTTCTCAAGGCCAGAGCTGTCTCTTTCTTTGTGTCTGTGCAATGTCATGAATGGTGGGGCCCCAATCTTGAATAATAACAACTGATGTCAGTGGAGCTAGACCAGATTTCCTAAGGTTTATCTGAGATAAATATCCATTTAGATACAGGGACAGATTCTGTGTCCAGTTCTTAAGATAACTGGAATCCGTGAAGATTTAGGATTATGGTATATATGATACTAGACAAAGCAGAAGGCAATTAAACAATATGTCAGGCACACAACCAAGTACACTTCCAGCCATAAACTAACGCAAGTGGAAATTTAAGAGGAGGTGGTAGAGGAAGCAAGCGTGAGCACATAAATATTTACAAAACTGTTTTACTGTGCTGATTTATGTGCTGATCTTATGCATGTGTTTAGTTACATTTTGCAAGCCTTAGTGCTGACATTTGAAATAGCTATTTATCATCATTTTTCTGGAATAAATCTGTTGCACTATTGGAACATCTTTTGTGTAGGCATATCCTTTGGGCAAGCTTACGAGAGGAATCTGTGCAACGTGTAGCTCTTCTGGGAGAAACGTGAACAGGCAAAATACTGTTGGCTTCTTCCAGGCATCCTCATTCCTGTGTACTATCAAGAAACTGGCGCATGGAAAGGACTAAGATGATGTCTCAGGTATTTGTGAACCAATATATTATCCCCAACAGTTGCTCTGATCAAAACAAGTGGTTAAAATTAAGACTCAGGAACAGATTCACCAGCCAGGGGATTGACATCTAAAGATCGTCACTAAGAGGCTAAAGACAATTACATAGAAACTCATACTTTAAAAAGCACTAAGGCTCAAAGAATCTTAGAGCCTCAATCTAGGAAGGATTTTCATGGATTTATCTAGGCCTAAGGTATAGTAAGAGCAAAGAAACTTACTGAGAGCTGAAATAAAGGCCCAGCGTTCCATCGAGTCCACCTTTCTGGCCAAAGTCTGACAGTGTAAAGGAAGGTTAACCCCATACTACAACTAACACGTAAGGCAAGACTGTAAATGAAGACGGTTGGGGACACTGAGAGGATGTCAGGATCCATGGGACGAGAACCCTGGTCTGTGGAGTCTGATGGCTAGCATTGCCATATTGTCCCTGGAAGGGCAGGCTGAGTCATACCCAGGGAACACTGTGGAGATTGGGCACTGCGGGAAGTACTACTTCAGTAGTTCTCTACCTATTTACCATTGTGGGCTGCATATGCAGCTCTCTATGTGTTATATGGGCTGCATCCACACAATATATATACTACCTGTATGGCCCTGAGGATGTCACATAGGCAGCAGCTGTGTGCTGATTGGGCCACAAGCGGCTGTGGGTTGAGAGCCACTGAGTGATGGTACTCTGCAGCCCTCTGATTGGTGAAGTGCACTATTTAACCCTGGATGGTGCCCCAAGAAGTGGTCTGGGCAACTATACAGACTTCTGGTCTGCGGCAATTCCAGATGGCACCTTGCTTTCTGATCTCTGAGCTTCAATCCTATCCTGACCCTGACTCTTGCTTTCTGATTCCAGCCTGGTACAGTACTACCTCTGATCTCCAAACCTGGCCTGACTGTGACCCTGACTCTTCCTTATTGAATCTGGCTCTAGCGATCCCTCAACTCCTGCTCATGGATTACCATCTTGTGGCCATCCTTGACATATGGACACCAGCCCAGCTGGGACTGTTAGGCCAGACTGCCTATGCCCCAATCCCTTACATAGGAAGACTTTTCAGTTCTGTAGATTATCAAGTTATGGGACTGCACCTACAGCTGGTGAAAGCCAGCATGGCTTCATTGAAGTCAATGGAACTATGCCAATTAACACCTGCTAAATATATGGCCCGTATTCTAAAAAATGAGATTTCATTATCTTTGCTTCCATAGCTACAAACTACTTTGAAATAATCAACCTCTTTTCCAGTTGAGCCATGATTTTTGCCTGGATGATCTCCGGCAACAATCGCTG